AGAAACACTACGTCAGAGGAAGAGTAAGTATTTTCCCCCAAACCTCATTATTTGTGTGTGTGTGTGTGTGTGTGTGTGTGTGTGTGTGTGTGTGTTTGTGTGTGTTTCATTCTTTTACATTAATTCTTCTAATTTCCCTTCATTGAGAGCATTAAGTGTGTTGTTTGTTTGGCTACTGGACCACAAGCTGAAGTAAATCATTTTCCATTTTCAATGAACAATCATTTTCAATATTACCCTAGTCACTTTCAGATAGCCAAAGAAACCACAGCACCCAGAGTGAGTTTTTTCTGTGATTCCAGTTTCGATCAGTCCACAGGCTTCCCAGATGCTGTGGGCACATCAGCTGTGATTGTTAATACAGCTTAGCTATATCGATTGATGAAATTGTGCTGCGGGTGAGGTTGTTTTGTGGCTCAAAACATTAAAAAAAATTAAAAAAGTCAACATGAAATGGCATTCACAACCCCGTTTTACTGAGTGAAACTGGATAGACAATGATAAATTGTTATAAAAAAGTGGGCGTGTCAAACCAGAATGGAGCCAGGTGGTTGGTTGACAACCAAGAGGTCTTGATGACATCAGCAGATAAGTAAAGTTGTTTCAGACGCAGAGCAAGTTTTAATATTTTGATTGAAGATTATGAAATACACTGATTAAACCATAGGAACTTTAGCTTTCATGTTGACTTGTCCCTTAAAAAATCGATTCTGGAATAAAAATGTATTGAATTTACAAGCAATTCATCCATTAAAGTGCTGTCATTTGACACTGGTCTGCAGAGTCATACTGTAGTGAATGAGTATAAAGGTGTGTAAACAGTGGGCGGCCTTATTGACTCTGCCCTCCCGTCAACGCGACACCTTCAACCTACGTCACATCATCCCTCACTATGCACAGCTTTTGTTAACATCTTGATCCTCTTTTTTTTCTGCTCGTATTCAGGCTCAAGTTCTTCTCTTTGCCTTTGTTTAAGTTATTAACGTGATATTTAGTTACAGTTCATAAATGAAGATTTGTCAAGTCAAGGTTGAAGGTAACGTATTGTGTGTTTTTACTGAGATATATGATGATGCTAATGCTGGGCAAAATAGCTGAAATATAAATTATATTTGGATCATTTTATAAATATTTGAACTTTTTTTCAACCAAACAGACATTGTTACCATGTAAATGATCAGTGTTCAAGTAAAGAATGATTAAGTTTTCCATTCTTGAACAAAGGGAGGAGTGATATATAGACATTTTTATTTTATATGCATGAATAAATCAGTTCATACAGTTGTAATTAATAGCAATTTTTACCTATACATGTTGACATTTTACGTGATGTCCCAAATGCAGAAGTACCCAGATCAACCCAGATTTGAAATTTGACATCATTTGGCAAGCCCACACAGTTGCAAAACTGTGTATTTTTAATCTGACCCATATTTTCTTTTGTCGTTTTGGTAATGTTTTTATTATAATATATTGTATTGTAGTTTGCACAACATCTCTTTAAAAGTTGTTAAGTATTCCTGTGGTATTTATGCAAATGACATGTTGTAAGTTGCATTTTATTAGTAGGGTCAAAGCACTGAAGGTGCGTGTGTTCGTCTTCTTCTTCTTCTGCTCTTGAAGTCTATGGCAGCCCATTGACCGCTTGCTGGAAAGTTATGAAATTTGGCATATGGATAGATGACAGATTGAACTTTAACCACAGTGATTGTGGAGTCTCTAACTCAATTGCTTTTGCACCACCAACTGTCCAAATTTTCCCTTATGTTGATGCTATAGGCTTTTACCGCTCACCGATTACATCACTTGCCTATCGCTGTATTTTTTTTTTTGTAAAAAATGTTTTTGTTCAGTTAGAGAACAGACATTAATTAAAAACTGAACGCAAACGAGAGCCACAGCACTGATCAGCAGCAAAAGTCAGATTTATTATATCACATGACGAGTGAGGCGAGCTGAATGTGAGCTGACTGGCAAGATGATGGCGAAAGATTTGGTTTTAAAGCCAAATGTTAAAGTGCCTATTTGGCAATATTATGGATTTAAACCCAATCCTAATATGGAACCTGCAAACTTCCATAGGAATGAATTTGAAATGCTCACTTTAAAAAAATGATCGTGATTTTAACGGTAAAAGACTGTAAAAATTCCACAGTGAAAAACTGTTAATTGGCTAACAGAGCTTTCCTTACTATACAGTAAATAACTGTGATAGATCTAATGGTAAATTCCATGTAATTTTACTGTAAAATACCGTTTTTAAAGTGAAAATGAACAACTCATTGTATAATTTACAGTGAAAAACCGTAAATTGACATCCCCACAATGCCCTGCATTTGATGTATTTTTGTTGAAATCACTTGTTTCTTAGTCTTTTTCTAATCAGTTAAGTACATTAGGGTTCTATGTGACATATAATGTTGTTAAATTAATGTTTATTGCCTTTTTAAAATTTCATGTGTGTTACCATGATGGTGTTTAATGTTTGAGTGAATGACACTGCGTGCAGCTTCTAAATATTAATAATAAATTACTCATCACTGCTGTGATTGTTGGTTGTTAGTGTATTACAATGGTACAGAACAGATATTAATACTTCAAATTAATACTTCAAAACTGTAAATTTGAAGTTAAGTCACTCTGTGAAACCTTGTTACCGTAAAGTCTTGCTACCGTATTTTATACGGTAAATTTCTTGCAACCACAGCTGCCGGTATTTTACCGTAAATTAAACACGTTTTTTTACAGTTCTCGCTGTGCTCCGTAAGCATAAGGGTATGAAATTCCCCAAAATGCGAATAACTTTTCACTTTTCATATTGCAATGAAACTGGTCTTAACAGAGAACATAGATACCAATTTTGCCACAGTTGGCCGAACTTCCTCATTCTGATTATCTTTAAAAACCCATCCTAGGTCCAATTTTCACCAAAATCGAATGATATCATCTTCAGACATGGATTTCTTGTCGATAGGCGAAACAGTTCTAGTATATCACATCAACAAATTGATGCCAAACCTATCAAACTTTGCATGTGTCATTATCACCTCAGACCACACCACATCAATTTGGTCACAGCGCCCTCTATTGGTCAAAAGAGATAAACCATTAAATCATATTACTAGTGATTTCCAGCCAAATTTTCTATATTTATTTCTCATTGTTGCACTTGGTCTGGTGCTCCCAGCCATGCTGTCATGACTTATCGTCTTGTTTTGCTGGTTTTAAAGGGTTTTTGGGCACTTTAAGCTGATCAGGACGGAAGACCAAAAGAGCAGTTTTAACCAGCTAAGACTGCTAAGGCGCCATCTTAGGCTGATTTAAGTTGTTTATTTTGTCATTTGTATGGTCATTGTAAGGTAATTTGTAGACATAAGTGGATTTTTCGACATCTTATGAAAGAAAATCAACAGAAAGCATCTTTGAATGTTATTTTTTGGGTTATTTATTTCTTTAACGGCAATTTATTCACCTTTTAATGTGTTGCTCAGCATGCGTGAGACTCTTTCCTGTTAATCCACTCAGCTGGTTGCTGAGCAAGAGTTAGAGCGAGAGGGTGTCTGATCAGAGGACAGAACTGTGAGTAAGGAGAAGGGTCAGTGAGAGTGAGGAGAGGACGTAGGGTCAGTGAGTGGACTTCAAATCCAGCTCCAATTTGGCAGCCGTGTCTTGTCAGAGTTGATTACCGCTGATCCGTTCAGACTTCTCTAACTGTGATGAGCAACCGGCAGTAAGCAAACGCCGTTTCTTTGCTCTTGGGGGAGGAGAGGAGAGTTTGAATCAGGAGGGTTGTAGATCGGTCTGAGAAGACTTATTCATAACCTCAGCTATGACAAAACAATAGCACGTCTGTTACGAGGCATTCTGGAGATTTAAATCAAGAACACCAGGTGATGTGCATTAATTGATTTTTATTTCAGTTTATTTATGTAAGAAGTTTGAAAAATTACATTGAGAGTTTGAGTAGTCCAGTGGTCTATAGGTATACTTTTTAAATACAGATTTTTTTTTTAACGTAATTTAGCTTTGTAGTTTTTTGCTTGCGGAGTAGATTTGTGTTCTATTTATACCTGTAGCTGTCAGCATTCATTTATATTTGGTTATACATGCTTTTCTGGTGGTTTAAACGTTATGGTTAAAGGTCTTTTTTCTCACTTTAAATACTTTCCATAATTAAAGAGGATAAAATCATGTTAAAGGTAACATTTGTTGATTGTTTAGAGGTTGTTATTAGACACTGTGTACAAGAAACTTTTGTTTTCTGGCATTGCAATGTATTATATGGCACTAAAACTTAAAGAGCAGAGGCCACATTTGGTCAAGTAGATTATGTTATGTAACAATCTTAAATTTAATAAGTTCTATATTTTCACACCACAAGTCTCATAAAATCCCATTTGGCCTCATTTGCCACCCACTATCCTATCAAATCCACCAAATTTCTGCTAAGAATTATGGTAATTAGAATGAATATATTTGAATTTTATTTCAGTATTTTCTACACAGCAGTGGGTCAAATTATTCGAATGCCATGTACGTTTTAAATCATTTTGATTGTTGAAACTTCAACAAAGGCCTGAATGTTTTTTTTTTTAATATTCTTTACTTTTGGTCCTCTACTTTTTAAAACTTTATTTAGTGAGTGCATTATTTGAATTAGTACTGTTAAATACTAGCACAGCCACTGAGTGCTTTAGACATTTGTTTAGACGTCTGGGGTTTTAAATGAAATATTTAGGGGAGAAGCTTGTCCGGTGTGTCTCTCTCTTTCTCTTCACGCATCCATTCATCCTGGCTCAGTTTCCCTCTGTCTTTATCGCAGGCAATAAATCCTTCAACATGATGTCCCCCACTGGAGATAATTCTGAGCTTCTGGCCGAAATTAAAGCTGGGAAGAGTCTGAAGCCGACACCTCAGACTAAAGGCTACACGACCGTATTCTCTAACAGCGGCCCCGCGGGGAACAACGTAGGTCACGCTCCCTTTCTTTTTTTAATTTGACTTCATTTCCTGAAGCCTGTCAAGAGCATTGTTATTACTGTAATGTTTTACTTATACATTTGTTTTGAGCTTATAAGTTTATATAGTTTATATACTCACAAATTTGTATGATGTAATAGTGATTGGGTGTCACTGCCATTTTTTGGCTTGAGATGTGAAGATGAGATGCTTCTTGATAAAAACAAAAGCCAAATCAGATATGTCAACTTACACACCAATGGACAGAATGGACTTGGTGTGATATTTCTTTAAATACATGAAAAAATAGAAAAACATTCCAGTTATTATTATAGAGATAGATACAATGGATCAATATTTCCAAAATATAACTGCTAGGGCCACAAAAGTAATGAAATTCAGAACAAAATGACAGTTACCGTGTATAAAGTTGTAGTATGGGGTGCAGCTCAGCAATCGGGCCCCAAATCTATTGTCCAGGATAATTCAGCCAGTTCAGTGAGACCCTTGTGTAACCCAATTATTGGTACTGTAACACAATAGCACAATTTATCAAAGTTATGTAATTGAGGAAATCACAGTTGGAGCGTTCGAATCCTTTTATCGAACGTAATTTGCTGACCAGTAATTTCTTGACTAGAACAAGAGGTCTGACGTATGGTTGCTTATGTAAATAATTGTTTCAATTTTTCCAAAGTTTAATGTTGAGTAACTATTACAAGTATCGTAATTACAGGATGACTCTGTTGTTATGCTAAATTTTCTATATTCTATATTTTAGGCCTAATAAAGAGCACCAGGATACATCGCTTATGAACTGACAATAAGTTGAAATGCACTGGTTTTATTTCATAACAACAGTAAATTTGGATTTGAATTGCCAAACGGTGTTTTTGAGACTGACAGAGACATAATTAGGATGGAATTTTTGAATTGCTTAGTTTTTGTAATGCATCGTTTAAAATGTATGCGACATACAATGTTTTCCAAAGGACCGTATTACTAACAAGAAAAAATGTTCTTAAAAAGTAGAGCCGGGAAACGAAAAGGTATATTGTACAAAAATAAACAAAAAAGTCTATATGATAAGTGACGTTTATTAATATTAACATGAACTATATAGGATAATTCATCTCACAAAACAATGGTTTGCACAGATCATGTTGAACCTCATTGCAAGTGAACCTAATTCTTTTTAGGAAGACAATTGTTAACTGATCCTTAAAGGGATAGTTCACTTTGAAATTATGTTTTGGTATGTTTTAGCTTACCTTAAGGGCATCCAAGATGTAGGTGTCTTTATCTGTCAGTCATAGAATGCAGGTCTATGGTCACCACCTCAAAGATCATGCACATAGAAGTCCAAATTAAACATGATGACTCGTACATGTAAGTACACATTGATGGCCTAAGACACGAAACGAGCGGTTTGTGTGAGAAAACGGACAGTGTTTATATCGTTTTTACCTCTTGTAACCACAGCCACATCCAAGTGATCTGAGGGGGCGCTTCGGTCTGCGCAAATGCCGGAAAGCGCCGGAAGTGATCTCTCGCGCGGTTGTGAAAAAAAATTCAACATTTCCTGTTGATATATCGAAATCGTCTTCCATTGCGATTTCCTGTATATCTAAATATGTTTAGATCTTCACAGTGAAAGGTAACACTTTCGAAACCTCTGTGTAAACAATGAGTGACGTACATGCGAGAGATCACTTCCGGCGCTTGCGTAGACCGAAGCGCCCGCGCCCTCAGATCACTTGGACGTGGCTGTGGTTACAAGAGGTAAAAACGATATAAAAACTGTTCGTTTTCTCACACAAACTGCTCGTTTCATGTCTTAGGCCATCAGTGTGTACTTACATTTACGAGTCATTAGATCATGTTTAATTTGGACTTCTCTGTGCATGCTCTTTGAGGTGGTGACCATAGACCTCCATTATATGACAAGAACGGTTTGACCTAAAAATATCAAAATTAAAACTACTGCGGAAACAAAGACACCTACATCTTGGATGCCCTTGAGGTAAGCTAAAAAATAATTTCAAAGTGAACTATCCCTTTAAGCACGGGACACACCAAGCCAGCGATCGGCCGACAACTTTCAGCCAAAGCCTCAGTCAACTGAAAACAATCTTGGCTCTAGTCGGAAGCTGTCTGTTTTTTTTTTGGGGCCAATTCGGTGAGAGAGAGAACTCTGATTGGCTGTTCAGCTTTTATAATGAGTCAGTGCACTAGAATAATAGCAAAACAGAGGGCAAAGAAGTAAAAACTGTACAGATAGAAGGCTTTTCTAATTTTACATCATCTTACCTGAGTATTCTTTGTGTACCTGCTGCGTCGGTTTCCCTTTCTGAACGCCGATTATAGACAAATAAATCTGCCGAAATAGACAGTTGTCTTATTAACACCCAGGCGCAGAAAGCGCATGCTAGTTGGCCGTCAGCTGTAGTTCTCTTGGTGTGTTCAAGTGCAGATTTTTTTTCAGGCGACAACACCGTCGACATTCATCAGCACTAGTTCTTTGGCGTCAGTTTGCCGTCGAGAGTCTTTAGTGTCTTTTTATTATTCAATTCAGCAGACAGCCAGACACTACATTGATATTTTCTTCTGGAACATTCAATTCTGATTGATCATTTTGAATTCCAGGAGGAACGTCCATCATCGCCGCCACAGCCTCTGCCAAAACCCCAGTCCAACGACACCCAGTCCGCGAAGCCAGAATCTCCACCGCCTGTTTGCCCACCCACGCCACCCACTCCCACCACCAGCAGCGGGTCACCCCAGAACCTGTCCATTTCACAGAGCAGCTCGCAGCTCGCAGCCACCGTCAATGGAAATACTGCTGTTGGCCAGAGCAAATCCAGTGTGGTGGATGTTGAGAATCTGGTGCCCACACATGACGAGCAGGGCCGAGCCATCCCAGAGTGGAAGAGACAGGTGATGGTGAGGAAACTACAAGTGAAGATGCAGGAGGAGGAAGAGAACAAGAGAAAGGTGAGTGATGAATCAGTTGCGTGTTTTAAACATAAGCTGAGGCAGTGCATCTCTTATCCAGCTTAGATTTCAACATAACCAAAGCTTTCAAATCCCAGCCTCATAACATACCTAAAGACCCCACAAAATCACAAATTGACTCGTTTAAGGTCATCTATAAGCTAGTAGGCCTACATTCCTACGAGCTGACAAAACCTGAATGCAATCCCACCATTCTTTCCCAAACATGAATTGGTTACAAAGGAAGTAGCTGGTATTTATACGTTCTAAAACTCTTTTGTCAATGTTTTTCCAACTAAAGGCTATTTGGTATTTTTTAAAAGGGGGATAAGCTCCTCAATAGTGCCAGCCATACATACTCGTCAGCACAAGAGAAAAAAACTGCATTTAATGTTAAATAATCACTATGTTTGGAATAGGATACTAATATACTACTGTTTTTGCAGTACATGAATATTGTGCGCAGTATGCAAATTGTCTTTATACATAGAATGCACCTTACTTGACCTTTCATTTTAATTGTGATAAATGAAAGTAATATAAGGTGTGATTTCTTCACTGATTCAATTGGGCTTCCGAAAGGTAGTATATCATTTAAAATACAAAGTAACCATGTTTATTTCCAAGATGATACTTGGTTGACACTCACATGTAACATGATGAGGTTGTGTGACACCATACTGCTGTTAATAGTATGCAGTATACAGTACACTCTAAGTAACCAGCTAGTATTCACTTCTGAACATAGCCAATCTCACAGTTTTGAAATGTTTATAAAAAAAAAATGACTAACAATTTAACATTTACAATTGATAATTGGAAATGAGTGCACTTTCTCAGCTTATGAGACCAACAGTATCCTCCTGTAGTTTTAGTAGTGTGAGCTATAGTATCACCTCATTAGATTTTAAGACGGCTTATGATTTAAAATGTAAATGATAACTTTGAAATTGAGGTTCGCGCTACAGTTTCTACATGGAGGATAGCTAAGCAATGAGTCTCTGCATGGGGATTTTTGGATAACTATTTAGTTTAATTCTCACTATTAACTAACTATCTGCTCATTAGCATGCATATTACTAGGATTTCTAGTTGACTGTTTAGTAGTACTTATAAAGCACGTATTAATGCAATGACCATATTCTACTTCCTTAATCCTACCCAATACAAAAACTTAACAACTACCTTACTGACTATTAATAAGCAGTAATTAGGCAAAAGTTTTAGTTAATATTTAGTTAATAGTGAGAATTGGACCCTAATCTAAAGTGTGACTGATTTTTGGGTATACACTACTATATCCAACCATTTAGGAAAGATCTATTAATTTAAAACCAATTGTGGTCATTCACTTCTCCATTAGACCTTAATGAGAAACTGGCTAATGAGTTAATGATTTTTGGGTACCCATAGCAGTGTTGTGTGAATGAGCAAACATTTGTGCAGTTCTGAACTCATTTATGGGTTAGCAGGAATTGTCAGTACATAAATCCTAGAAATATGTTGTTAATAGATGAAAGGATTGAAAATTAGTGTTGGGATGAGATATTAATTGGTGAATGAATCAATAATATTAGTGGCTGTGTATATATTTTTAATCCAGGGAACATTGCTTTACAGTTAGGCTAGATTACTTATTACATGTTAGATTACAGGCTACTTTGTTCCACTGTAAAAAAAATATATATATATATTTTCATGATTTGTAATCACGACATTTTTTCTTTTGTCAAATCAACTTAATTTATGTAGTTCAGATAACATAATATTTTGAGTTTCTGGTGATTAAATTAATCTCCTTCATTGTATTAAACTCAATTTTTCTATTTCAATGAACTTAAATTTTTAAGGCAACCAGGTTACTTATTTTTTTTTAAGTTAAACCAACATTTTTTTTTTAAAGTGTACATATGTACAATGTAAATAAATATTTTCACGATTTTTTATCACAACATTTTTTCTTTCGTCAAATCAACTTAAATAATTGATTTAGTTCAGATAACTTACTATTTTGAGTTTCTGATGATTAATGCTGCGTTCATGTGCTATGGTAATTATGGTAAATACCAAAAGCCGACGTGGAAAATGCACATGATCACCCCCTCATGTGGTATTTTCCACTGGGCAACTCGTAGAATATTTTGATGGACGAGTTGCCGAGATGAGATAACCTTTGATCTTTAAACCAAAATGGCGGAGAGCACCGCGAGAGTCGTGAATGGTAGAAATATATACTATTCATGATCTAGAAAATATAGGCTACATCATATTATTTACCTTTTGAGTTTTGATCCTTTCCTTGCTGTTGCAGATGACTTAAGCAATCTAAAATAGTTTTAGCTAAATAACAGGTCTGGATCTCCATCTTTTTACCACATTACGACAAGCACTTGAACGCAACACACTTGTAAATACCAGTTCACAAGTGGAAATATCCTATTTTCCATAGCACGCGAATGCAGCATAAATCAATAATTGTATTAACTCACTTTTTCCAGTTCAATCAACTTAAAATTTTAAGGCAACCAGGTTACTTCATTTTTTAAGTTAAACCAACAATATTTTTTCACAGTTATTTCATTATTGTGAATACATCGTACTTGAACTTGATTGCAAAGTCAAATAGCTGGGGATTAAAACAAGTAGACTCTGATTTGAAAAAGCGTAAAGTGTAAAGAGTTTTATATTTCTGATCAGACATAGTTTTCAGCCTATGACAAAGACAGACTTTCTCAGTCTTTAGTTTTGGTCTGGTTTTCATTGTGAGTATCGTGTAGCGTGACATTCTGTTGGCTTTTCCTATACTTTGTGTTGAGTGATGCAGTGTTTAATTTGGGGCTGTTGTGACTATCCAAAGACAAGCCTAAGTGTGTTTGACATTCACTAAGGAAGTATTAGTTTAATGTGGCTTACTGGCGATGGTGCACGACAGCTCTAAGTTTTTACATGGGGATTCAGTGGTGTGATGCAAAGCCCCTTCACACTGCAACTGGTGCTTGGTCATCTTGCTCATTCTACTCATTAAGCTTTTATTTTTATCTTATACTTTCATACATCTTGTTAACGCTCAGAAAGCTTCTCAATATTTATTTATTTATTTTGGATTAGTGGAAATTGGTTCCCTGGAAACACAAGCTAAATATAATTTACAGATAAAGTAAGGAAACTTCTGGGTCATTTTCAAATGAATGTCTATATGGACGGCATCTATGGCAGGCTGTGGAATTACCGGCATTAAATTTAGACTTGTATTCGGAAACATGTGCTGTAGATACAATTAAAATGTACAACTCTAAATACCCTTACAATGAAAGTCCAGCAGAAAAGTGGCCAGCAAGTCTTGAACATCACACTGTTATCATAAAACTGGTGTGATAGAATTGCTCACCAAACCTGTCTGTACAAAGTTGTACTAATCTTTACTAAACTAATCTTTAAATTAATGTCATGACCAGCTAAAAATAAACCCAGTTTGATGGTATCCGCACAAGGATACCGGGAAGCGACATAACACATTTATCAGCTTAATGTGAAAACAAAAGTAGAGTTATGCACAGTCCATCCACAAAGATTATGTTGGTAACTCATAACTCTGTCTTGAAAAGTAGTCCCACAGGGACAGTTAAATCCACTGGCCCACTTACCTACCAGACTTCCATAGCATGCATTTTATAGTCCCTGTTTGTTTGTCTCTTCTTATTTGTTTTACAAATTTTAAATTATTGTATTCAGTATCATGTCACTGATTGTATCATAGACAATCATTTGAAAGTAACCCAGATTATTCATTTCATATAACTAATAGACTCTAACCAAAACCCTATAAAATACATTTAATGACAAACAAGCTATTTTTGCGGTTGCGGTTTGCCTGAATCTTCTTGTGCAAGTCAACTCAGTGAAAACAAGGCAGTACCATCGCACCACTAAATTCATGTAAAGTTTGAAACGTTTGGGGTGAAGAGACTTTAAAAGCGTGTATGTAACGCATCGGATCCACAAGCTGAAGGGCACCCCCTCCTTTGTTTTGTTCCTTTCTATACCCTCCTCTGAACCTACTTTAGTTTGCTGGCAGTGGATACTATCAAGCCCAAGACTGGCATTATTCTCACGTGCACAATGCTATTCTGGGTCCATTTGGAGAACTAATGACAGAGGACGACCTCATCCGCATTGAGAAGCAGATTGAGAACCTCCAGGTCATGCACAAAGTGACAGAGGTGGAGAAAGATCTGGAACAGCTGGAGCAAGAGTTGAAGCAACTCTTACCTGTGTCTGCAGCTTTGAACCAAGACCACTTCTCTGTCAACCCCAAACAGGTTCACGGGCAAGCCGAAGACTTGCCCGCCTGGTGCAGCAAGATCTCGACACTGCTCAAAAGCATGGCCGTTTTGCTTGCCACTCTGGGTGGAAAGGAGATCGATATTCTGGAAATGATCACTCAAGGATACACGTACGAAGGTCTGAAGAGTGGCCAGACGGGGATCTCGGATACAGTGGCCTCTGGAAACATCGGTCGATCGCAATCTTTCTCCACTCGAGAGGAGGTGGAGAAGGAGATTAAGCAGTGTGGTGTGTCTGTGAAGAACCTGAAAGCCAATTATGAAATTCATAGCACGTCAAAGTGCGAGGATGACAAGATGAACCGCGTATACAAACGTACGAGGTCCTTGCCGGCAGTTAGTGAATGTAGCTACCCATCAGAGCCCGTCCTGGAGGATGAGCTGCTCTTCTCTCTCAGTGAGAGCAACTCACAAATCGGGGATGGGTCACCGATAGAGCAAGTTCCAAATGTACCATTGGTGAATGAGGAGCCTATAACACAGTCCCACGCAACTTTGGTGTACACCGGGTCTGAAAGAACAGGGCCGTCTGACTCGGACCACCCGGACGTCTCTACGAACCCACTATCCTCGGAACAGCTCACCCGCAGTCTAGAGGTGCAAACGGACCTGAGCTACGTCCAGGAGTGCATCGAGATGCGAAAGGAGAGGATTGTGTTTCTCTTCCTGGAACACTGGAGAAAGTACACGATGACTGAATCCTACAAGTGCTCAGGAAGAGGGAAGACTCTAAGTGTTGAAGAGAATGACGGTCACTCCCTGTATTATCAGAACTTAGCTGAGCCGGATGGTGCCATGCAAACTGAGGATGACCAACTGCTGTATTTCATGAAGCAGAGGCAGGTTGTGGGAAATCTTCTTGGCCACTGGAGGACCATCATGAGCCAGGTGCCCACGCGACAAATCAGGAGACTCAGTCGAGCTCAGATGATCTACTGGCCCGAGCACTTCCTTCCCCACATCAACGGCTCACCTGTTCAGTATGAGAGTCTAACCCTTGACCTTTTCATGCTCGGCTACTTCCAGCTTCTTGAAATGAACATGTCCCGCACTGAGCGGAAGTTCCGGCACTTGCTTTGCTATGAAATGTTTGACCGACTTGGCAGTCACCCGTGGGAAGTGATCCGCCAGTTCCACCGAGAGGTGATGGGGAGCATCGAGACAGGGAAACGTGATTGGTCGGATGGATTTGAAGACATCAAGGTGAAGTATTTTGGTGACTCTGTTGAGGGTGGCGGGCTGCTGGAAGCTGCTGAGCTCATTCTCCCGCCGGAGGTTCTGCAGGCACCCGTAAGCATATCGCAAAGGGCTCCAGACGCAAGTCTCTCAGGTGTTTCACCACCAGATGCCCCCTTTGAACACCCAGGACCAACTTCAGATGACTGTGCAATGGCCACCCAACAGGACTCTTCAGAAGATTCAGCGGAGAACATTACAAATCACACAGCAATACAGGAGAGTCCTACTGAAGTTCAAAACACAGTAACGCAAGCAATCATAACAGTCGAAAGCCCCCAGACGGAAGCCAAACAGGGCCCAGCAAATACCAAAGAGGAGCCCAATGAGGACTCCATCAAGCTTATTTATGAACTTAAAGAGTTTAGCAATGAGGAAATTATTAGATATATTGACCGAAGCTTCGCCTTCTGGAAAGAGAAGGAAGCTGAGATGTTTGACATATGACTTATCAGGTCAACTTATTTAAAGGATGAAACACAATCATAAGGAGACAGATTATATACTTGTGTTAAGCAGTTGGGTCAGAAAGGCGGTTTAGTTCTAGAAAATGCTGAGGTTTTGATTTTTAAAAGAAACAATCAAATGTTGGGCTTAACTGAATTTAAGCAACAACCTGTCCTGTCATCATTTGTCATCAGATGTCTTACGACCGACTGTAAGCTGGGGTGTAAAAACTCGATATTGACGTTTTTGAAACTGCTAAAACGATAAATACTAGAAATACCCAACACATTCTCATCCCAAGGCGTCATATACGACGCTTTTACCAAAGCGTCGTATATGACGCTTCGGACGCTTCCAATATGACGCTTATATGACGCTTCCAAATCCAACGCACATGGCACCCTTTAGCGTCAATATAACACGCACAGAGTATGGGTAGGTTAAGGTCTGGGGTAGGGTTAGGGTTAGACCACTAGGAGGCGCCTTCTGCCCCATAAATCTGTGTCTCATATTGATTGACTCTAAAGGGTGCCATGTGTGTTGGATGTGTACGCTTTGGCAAAAGCGTCGTATATGACGTCTTGGGATGAGAACGGGCTGAAATATCATAGCATCTCATCTCACTAAGTGAAAAGAAACTTTTTTAGCAAAACATCAACTTTTCAGTGAGTGTTTATAAAATAATAAAATAATCAGCTCACACTTTGAAGCACAAAATACGTTTTTGTCAAGTGTAAGTCTAGTTTGACCATTTTTTTAAACATTTTTTTTTGCTTTCTGATTCTTTCATTGAAAGAAGCCATTTGAATTTTGTAACTTTGAACTCTAGTTTGGTATTTGTATGACTTATTTATCTGAAGTTATCACATAAGACCATTAACATAAATTACAGTTACAATGTTTTACATCATCTGTTTTCAATGGTTTATTTAGCATGTTTTTGCGTAATTATTTGGAAAGTATCGGAATGTTTTTTTTTAGGATAGGAGTGAATGTGTTGTCTCTTTTCTTAGTGATCTTTTGAGGTAAGAATACACCAACATAATCAATGCTTTTATTTACTCAACCATGATGCATTTGTGTATGAGCATGCTTGACCTTTTTATCTTTAGGTTTTATTGTCTTTTGTTAGCAGTTGTGTTTGGCAATGTTGTTTTTGAGAGGTTTTAAAAAAGCAGATGGATTTCTACTTAACTGCAAAGGTTTTTATTGCCATTGATATTTTTTTTTTACACCTAACATTGAGGTATAAACCGTTTTTGTTCATGTTTGAAGTGTCGGTTTGATGGTTTGTTCATTTTTTGAGAAATTTACACAAAATAAATCAATCTAAAGGTCATCATTGGGTACATAAGTCAAGATCATTTCACTTGTGATTAACATTAAAATGATTGAACACCTTTTTAAGAACATATATTTTACTTAGAGACATACATTTACCATTTAATGTTTGCTTATGTAGGTTCCATGGACTTACTTAAAGAGTTAAATAAGAATTAGAGAGTTAACTATGGCATCACGCTATTTTTGGAGTCAAGCTCAAGCTGTGTTCTTGAGGGCATTTAGCAGTCATTTTCTTAAGAAGGCAGGACTGTGGAAGACAGGAAGTGTGTGTGTTAACACCTGCAGTATTGAAATGTCAATTAGAAAAGTGCATATTGAATATGCATGTTTAAAACCATGCTGTATATTTTAAGGTAAAAGTGAAATGTTTTATTTCTGATTATATCTTTGACACTCAAATAATTGAACTGCACAAGAGCCATATTTCAGGTCATGTTTCCCCCAATGTCAATATTCCCCCTAAAGTAATATAATATTTTGATAGGAAATTAAGCCTTTTTTATATCCTATGCTGATAAAAAATAAATAAATAAATCATCTGGACACATTCCATAATGACAGCTGTGTTTTTTCTGATATGTAAAATATAATTTATTTAGATTTCAGGTCAAATATGACATTTTAATGAGTCCAAAAATATGTATACTCTGTACAAATACATATATCTCTCTGTTGGAGTAGCCCATCTCTGGAAGTTTTTTTTTTTTATTATTGTAATTTTTTACTTATGTTTCAACTATAAACATTTAACAGTAACTGTGTTCTCTACCGCAATCTGTAGATGCAGTATAGCCTTTTTTCTTTAAAAAGGTTAAATAATAATTTTGTCATTTAATGTCTTTCAAATTTTCCGAATTATTGTGCAAAATCCAAAGGCTACCCAAAAGAAAAGCAATACTATATTATTTAAATTTACATTTATTAATTTTATCCAAAGCCAATTACAATTGCTACATATGTCAGAGGTCGCACGCCTCTGGAGCAACTAGGGGTTACGTGTCTTGCTCAGGGACACATTGGTGTCTCACCCCGTGTATCTCACACCAAAGGCATGTGTCTTATCCACTCGCGCCATCATTTATATTAGGCTACTATATTACCATAGTTTTTTTTTTTTTCTTTTTTTTTTCTTGGCACATAATTCCCAGGGGAATAATGAAATATTAATACACGGATTAGTTTACTCTGGCTGTTACCAATAGCATTTCACTGTAGCATTTGAGGTAATCGATCCGTTTGGAGGGGAAATGAGAAGCTGAAGATGGCCACCCCCTTTGCTGGGATATAGTTACCATCTGAATGGAGGAAGAAGATCCCTTTTCACACTGTGCACATGTCTGAGTGAAAGAAGAAACACTTTATTGGGAAGTGTATACAGAAAATGTGTTTTCTTTTTTTTGTTAAAGAGTGTGTTAAAGGGTTTTGGTGGCATATTCTGTATACAAACCAGGGAATTTGTTTAAATAGTAGGATGCTACCATGTATGAGGAGTCGGAAGTTGCACTGAAGCCCCCGAGTTCACCTCGAGTTTAGACTGGTTGTAAATGTAAATAAGCGCAGTAGTATGAGTTGCTTTGCTATATTGTCGTTCTGTTCAGTACATCCTGAACATTTGTGGCATGGCCTGATAGAAACAGTCAGGACCTCCTTTTCACAAAAAATTTATATCTGTTTAATTATTATTTTATATTTATGTATTGTACTTCCCATTATAAAATGTAGTGTTTCCAGTATTCTAGCAGATACTTGCAAAAGCTGTCACTGGGACCGCACCCTTTCAAACGGGTAAATCTTTGTACCTTTTTACCCAAAAGTGGTACATGTTAGCACCATAAAGATAGATATTAGTGTCTTTTGAAAGGGTCCCAGCCCATTGACAGCTTTTGTTCCTTATGAACTGCTAACACACTTTTTTTGAAGATCCAAACGCAGCCAATTATTAAAGGTAATCCACAATCGAAATCAAAATGACAGGCAAGGATCAAAACCTAAACAATAACAGCATCCAAGAAACAGGGAAATCCAGAGAACCGGGCAGAATCATCATAAGACTTGATACACACAAGACCATGTACACACAGAAATACAGTGCGACACTAACAAGGCTTCACAAAGAATAAGTGAAAAATACAGGGCTTATATAGGCATAGTTTAACAAGGGAATGAGTAATCACAACAGAATGAGTTATGGGAAATGAAGTTCATGATCTGAGAGTATTGGACTAGGGAGGAGTGCCCTCTGGTGGGTATCATGTGCACTCCAACTGGCTGATATGACAGTACCAGTATGCACTCCAATGCTTTGTGATTTGTTTTTGAGGTCACTTGCAGTGACATCAGAAATGATCTTAAAGTCGTTTACAGGAAATGTTATTAACCAAAAAAAAAAGGTTTGCTGATCTCATCCTCAGCTATGTGTCTTTCTTTCCTGTTTGTGACAGATTGAGGAAGAGGCGGCCCGTCTGGCTTCCTTGCCTGCCTGGAGGAGAGATATTATGAAGAAAAAGATGGATGAAGAAAAGTAAGTTAACACCAGGGCTCTTGCTTTTGGCTTTCTTTTTCCTACTTTGTGTCTCTTGTGTTTTTCTGTTTATACTGTTTGTAAACCTCATTCATCACATTAGTGTTAATTTCATTACTATGAACAATCATAACCCCCTGGTGCTCTTCTGTCCTTTTTGACTGAAAAAAAAAAATATATATATATATATATATATATATAAACAGTTTTTACCTTGTGTGGTTACAAGAGGTAAAAACAATATAAATACTGTTCGTTTTCTCACACAAACCGCTCGTTTCGTGTCTTAGGCCATCAATGTGTACTTACATTTACGAGTCATTAAATCATGTTTAATTTGGACTTCTCTGTGCATGCTCTTTGAGGTGGACCCCATATACCTCCATTATATGATGAACTGTTTGACCTAAAAATATCAAAATTGAAACTACTGTGGAAACAAAGACTATTTTGACTTTTTTTTTTACTTCATCGAAATGGTATAAAACTTGGCAAAGGTTTTGGCACTTGCTTTGTAAACACACGAAAAATAGGCACACTTGTGCTCATCGAGGTCAAAAATGAAATGAAAAAAAAAAATGAATGGGTGACGAATTTCATCTAGTGGAAACTTTTGGTACTGCGGTCAAACAGAATCTTACTGAAAGCTCATTTTTTGAGATATCATGTTTAACACAACTTGTTTAGATGTGCGGCTTTGATTTTCTTGCAGTTTTACAAGTAAAAAGTGTTTTTGAAAATATAGATTTCATATAAATTGTATTTTTGTGCAATTTTTTCACTTTAGCAATAATCTGCCAAGTGTCTTCTTTGAAAAGATATCAAATTTAAGTCTGTACTCTAAAGCATTCAAGATTTACGATAGTTTAAGTTGGAAATTTAATATTCAGGTATATTCTCAAAACGCGAATAACTACTGCGTAAATATAATGTAGTACCATAAAATCGCTTAAAAATACAAAATATTAAATACAAAAACATTATCAAACTTAAATATCGTCCCGTCTTTTTTTTTTGTGAGTGTGTCACGCGAAGAGCACCAGAGGGATACTGAAACCAGATATCTGAAACTTTAGCCCATTTCTAATATCAAAAAGTATTAGCTTTGTTGTTTTTTTCTTTTATTTATGACAAACCTAATGAATAAGACAGATACTACTGCCTTTAAAAGTCATGCCTGAAGTTTCTTCCATGCAAATCTGTGAATTTTCTGTCTTTTACTCTCAATATCTTTTGTGGATTATAATACCAAAGTGATAATAAGTAAGTAAAACTGTAAAGTATTTTCTGTTGTAGTGTAGTGACTTCTGAACAAACATTTTAAAATATACAAACATTTATTTACATACGTGTAATCCTCTAATTTCTTTTATTCACTCCTGGATGGACAGGGAACAGAAAAGGTAAGACTTTCGCCAGTGATAGTTGCAGTACTAATAGTAGTTGTAGACGCAGTTTCTATTCAGTCAAGACTTGATTGTATTAAAGGGTCACTCCACCTCTGGAAAGATGAATGTGTATTTAAAATGGGTCATTTATGTAGAAGAAATGTGAAATCATTTTTGAATTTGGAGCTTTCTAGATTGAGAAAAGCCAGAAAATGTATTTTTGGTTTATGTGGCTGAAAGACAACAACTCCCAGAATGCACTTGCTTCGCTGCCCTAGGAGGCCACGGTAACTACCGGTAACCGCGCAGTAGTTAAACAACAAGTCTAGGCTAGTCTAGTGAGTCTCCGTGATGAGTCTGCCCGAAAATGTGTTTCGAGATCACCCAAAATGTCCGGGATTCGGCTTTTGCGTTCTATAATCGCCATTTATCATGTTTACTGTGGCGAGCGGGACGAGTGAGGGCCGCGGAGAACGGCGCGAGACCGATGGCAGATTACCGATGAGCGACACCTGTGAGACGTAAGTTACCGGTCTCGTTTCTCTCACGGATGAGCGGCAATTTTCTTAGCAATGTTGAAAAGTACATCAACTGATCACTTGTTTAGCGTTCATGTAAACACTACATTCAGGTTCACCAATCAGAATTAATTCAGTTAGATTGAAACAAACGCTGTGCATGTAAACAATGAATGGCGACTTCAGAAAACAAAAGCTGAATACCGGACATCGACTGGCGGACATGTCCTGGAAAAAGAGGATGGTAACCCCTAAAGTTACTACTCTTTCTCCACAGAACAAGAGCCCGCTTAGCCTGGTTAAAACCAGACCATTTTCAATTGTAACTGAGTTATGGTCTGGCAAAGCGTCATAGACAAATCATTTCCAGAGGGGCGTCACCAACGGACCAATCAGAGCGGTGAAGGAGATGACGTATGTAGAGCAGTGTTGTTCTTTGCTCGGTTTTTAACAAAAAGGAAACGTTCGAATTGCTTAAAACAGACGCGATAGCGGATTCGAACGAGTGATGTTCGATGGCGACATCCATTGTAATATAGGCTACAAAATCTGCTTCAAAATCCCAGCACCGTCGTCATTATGTAAAGCCCGCCCCAACGTTTCTGATTGGTGCCTCAATTTCGACAGATTGGAAATGGGCTTGAATGAGCTCTTTGCCAGACTAACTCTCAGAGCAAATCTAAATTTGCCGGAAGTTGTCTGGGTTTTTCCAGGCTAGAGCCTGCTAGCTTACCTTCCAAAAAAGATGGCTGACACTGTGTAATCCCAATCCTCCATAATGCATCCGTCTGCGTATTCAGCTTCGTCCATATTTTTAGAACGTTTCTGCCGGTGAAATCAGACGCACTGGCACTGATCTGTGAGGGTGGGGACTAGTGCTTGTAGTCTTTACAGAAATCCCCCTCTTACACTTCCTCCTGCAATGACGTAAAATGATGATTTTTGTGTCATTGTAGGAGGAAGTGAAAAAGATAAATAGCAGATTTCTCTCTTCTCAGGGGAAAATGAGAGAGTGTTGCACAACCATTCAATAGTATAACTGGGTTTCTAACAATGGAAAGCTTAAAGTTGTAGTTTACTTTTCAAAAAACTTGCTGATAATTTACTCACCCCATATCATCCAAGATATCCATGTCATTCTTTCTTCAGTTGAAAAGAAATTATGGTTTTTGATGGAAACATTCCAGGATTTTTCTCCATATAATGGACTTCAATGGGAACCAAACGGTTCAAGGTCCAAAAGACACTTTCAGTACAAACTACAAACTGTTCAAAGGGCTTTAAACGATTCCAGACGATGAATAAGGGTCTTATCAAGCGAAACGATCGCTCATTTAAAAAAAAATAACAAAGTTTAAGTTTTATAAGCTCAAATGCTCGCCTTGCTCTGTTGTGTGATGAGCGTTCGTGACTCTCCTGTTCAAACTCGTTCATCAAAAGGAACAAATCTTTTCCCGAGTCAACTCGTTCGTTTCGTTCGTTGAATGAACCAAATGACATGAAAAAAGATTTGTTCATTTTGATGAACGAGTTTAAACAGGAGAGTCACGAACGCTCATCACAGAACAGAGCAAGGCGAGCATTTGAGCTTATAAAACTTAAACTTTGTTATATTTTTTTTAAATGAGCGATCGTTTCGCTTGATAGGACCCTTATTCATCCTCTGGAATCGTTTAAAGCCCTTTGAACAGTTTGCAGTTTGCACTGAAAGTGTCTTTTGGACCTTGAACCATTTGGTTCCCACTGAAGTCCATTATATGGAGAAAAATCCTGGAATGTTTTCATCAAAAACCTTAATTTCTTTTCGACTGAAGAAAGAATGACATGGACATCTTGGATGACATGAGGGTAAGTAATTTATCAGCAAAAGCTTTTTTTAAAGTGAACTACTCCTTTAATGCAAATGGGTGGAGTGACCCTTTAATGTGCATTATATGTAAAACATGTTAATGTACCCTCCTTTACTTTTCTTTTCTCATCCCGGCAGAAAAGAGGAGGAACGACAGCGAAAAGAGAAAGAGAACGAGGAGAAGTCGGAACTGGAGCGACTACGAACACTAGGCTATGATGAAACCAAGCTGGCGCCGTGGCAACGGCAGATCATTTTAAAGAAAGGCGACATAGCGAAACAGTAGTAAACACACACTCATCAGTCACTCTTGCACAACTCTCCGCTGACACGGGTCAGAATCTGCCAGACCCTTTACACGCAAACCACGGACAGGTCACCAGACCTCCTTCTGCTTTCATCATCACTTCTTCAGATGTAGCCCTGAAGATGCTCCGTTGAAGAGTGAAAATGAATTAAACTAATGTTTTATGGTCAGGTCTTATGTATATGATTATTTAGCAGTCTTGAGAACTAAAAAAAGATTGTTTTTCAGAAAATATTTTTTAGCACTCCCCCCACCTGATACGTTAGCTTCACGCTTCCAGCTTCACACATGCGTGTTTTACGTCTCATTTCAAATCTCTAGTAGTATTTTTATGTATAGATAGATAATATAAGTCAAGGAAATGTACTCTGCTTGGATGCTTTTTTAAATTTACTTCATGTGGTCATAATCTACGATGTATGATAGTTCTGAACAAGTGCATAAAATAAGTGATGCGTTGTGTTATGGTACATCTATATTTCTTTACATTAAATAATCGTGCAATTTGGAAATATCAAGTATACATACTTCACCAGTAGGATGTTAGAACAATGGGTTCATTGTACATAACGCAACAGCAATATTTCACCAGAAGATGATGTCGGAGATCATAACTGATATTTGGCCATAGCAAGTCTTCCCAGACCTTTCCATCAAAACGGCGCTAAAACCCATAAGAAGCCAATGTCTTAAATACGCTATTATCTTTAATTGAAAAGTCATCTGTGCTGAGATTTACATAGGAAGTTTACATTGGGAAATGATGTTGGTAGCTTAACATGTCATGAAATCATGACTTTGTATTCAGCCATGCTGTGGTCCCCCAAAAAATAAGCTTTTTTTTATTTCTCAGCTTATTCTCTATTGTTAATGTGTTTAGAGTAACTAGACATCAGAAAAGTGCCGGATGTGAATCTGTACGTGTGCGTGCATGTGTGAGAAAGTATATGTGTGTGCATACACATGCATATAAATGTCATTTGTCTGTCTTGTGTCATACACTGTGCGTTGGTTAGAGTTGATGTATTTTAAGTGTTTTTTTTTTCTGTACAACTGTAAAAAAAAAAAAAAAAAAAAAAATGCATGGCCCTCCTTGAGTTTGGGAACGTTCTGCTTTTATCAGATGCCATAATGATGCTGAAATCAAAGATGTGATCGCCATTGCCATTCGAAGATTTTCTATTCATAATTACTCCATACAGAAATGCTTGTAAACTCCTACGGCCCTATAATATCAGTTACATGTTTTTTTTTTTGGTTTTTTTGTCTGTTTTCAGCCTGACTTTCATAGGCAGACTATTGTACACTTTTAACTTTCCCAGTGGCAAAACAAGTAATGTAATAAAAATAATTAAAAGTAATGTAAATAATTTTTGCCTGTGAAATATTTAATATACATTACAAAAAAACACCAATCCATATAGGGCAATAGAGTGACAAATAACAGGCCTAACCTGTAAAGGGATAGTTCACTTTGAAATTAGTTTTTGGTATGTTTTAGCTTACCTCAAGGGCATCCAAGATGTAGGTGTCTTTGTTTCCGCAGTAGTTTCAATTTTGATATTTTTAGGTCAAACAGTTCTTGTCTATCAGTCATATAATGGAGGTCTATGGTCACCACCTCACCTCCAAATTAAATATGATTTAATGATAAATGTAAGTACACATTGATGGCCTAAGACATGAAACGAGCGGTTTGTGTGAGAAAACGAACAGTTTTTATATCGTTTTTACCTCTTGTTACCACAGCCACGTCCAAGTGATCTGAGGGCATGGGTGCTCTGAGGCTGTGATAACAAGAGGTAAAAATTATATAAATACTGTTCGTTTTCTCACACAAACCGCTCGTTTCATGTCTTAGGCCATCAATGTGTACTTACATTTACGAGTCATTAAATCATGTTTAATTTGGACTTCTCTGTGCATGCTCTTTGAGGTGGTGACCATAGACCTGCATTATATGACTGACTGACAAGAACGGTTTGACATATTCATGAATACAAATTAAGTTACAGGCCTGAATGTTACAAATAAATGCATGCAAAAAATAACTTAACATTAATGTGATAGAAGGCTAAGCAGTGCGTAAACATTATAGTAGACCTATGCATAATATCCTAAACCTCCTATATTTAAACCTGATTGCTGGATATTAGTAGAATTCGTCATTGTTTACTGTAAATTACAAATAGACCTATCAAGTTCATTAGAACAAGCATAGCAAGACAAGTGAACGTTGAACAGACTTAACAACAGTATTTTATAGCATAATATTTATCAGAAGAATCCACTTCAGTTTTTTTATTGCTTTTTAATAAGAACTAAACATAATTTGCATTCATAACCATATATTTCAGGGGTAAAGTAAATGGGACAAAACCGGACAAAACGAAGAGAGAAAGTAGAAAAAAAGAAAGGCATTTTACAGAAAAAAAAAACGTTTTCCTTGCAAGTTTTCCTTGCTTTTAAGTTTTTACATTTTGATATTGTTTCTAAATATATTTTATTCATTCATTTTAAATAGTTCAAAATGTGGTATTTTTTCCATTCAGTTGACTTTATGAATATAGTAACGGGCAACTATAACAATTAAATACAATATAAATAAAAGATTTGTATCACCATCAAATGAAAAACATTTTAGTTTATAACATCAACTTCTTCAAAATTAACAGTAATCATTAACAATAAGCTTTTCTTTGTAGGTAATTACTTCCATTCAATTCGTTCCAAGATATTTGGATCTTGGGACACTCCCGAAATATATAATTAACAGTCTCAGGGGAAATTTGAACGTTTAAAACGGTCTACTTAAGGTTTATTTCATGCATTCTGAATCAGAAACGGTCAGTAAGTAAAAGGGGACGGGGTTTAGCGAAGTGTTGATGTAGTGTCAAACTTCACCAACAGATGGCGCAATGAGCATATTTGCCGTTGAAGTACGCAACTGGAAAATTATAAAATAGATATAAAAAGAATTTAAACACATATTCGGTCTGGTCTCATGTGCTCAAATTAAAATCTAATTTGTCCGAAAATAATTACGTTTTCAAGATTCTGCAATGTGTGAGAGTTTGAGGAAGTATTAGCTCAATCACAGGTGGGTGTTTCTCTCGGCTCACCTGGAGTGACGTATTGCGTTGTAATACAGAGACGGCGTCGGAATGTGTTGAAGGTCTGCTAATATATATATATATATATATGTTCTGGGTCCGTGCAGGCTGGGAAACCTGACTTCCTCACACTTTTAAAAGCACAGTGTATGTGAAATTAGCCGGGTAAGTCAATCCATTATTTATGTATGACCTTTAAACAGACTGGAAGTGCTGTTGTTTTGAGAAAGTCTGTCCGGGCGTGAAATGCACTTGAGTTGTTTATCCAGGTGATTTATCAGATTCCCGCCGTGTCTATATAGTTTTATCTAAAGTTATGCTATGTCAAGACGTCTCTGAAGAACAAAATTCAGTCAGACCAACAGTGTTTATTACATTTTGATAATGTTATACTAAAGCGTATGCATTTTTGACCCCATCATGTGCCATTGACACAGGCTACTTGATAATGTCAATCTGGGTTTTCGGGGGGGTCTTCATATTATTAAAATGTTCTTCATCTTCACACTGAGAAAACAAAAGTTAAAATAATGTTGGCTGAAAGGTACTTTGAGAAACCCAGAATGGTTCTGACAGTGCTGTGAAGAGCACTTTTGAAACCTTTATTTTTGAGTGTAATTGGGAACTGAACTAATTATGTTGCTTAAGTGGCATTATGCGTTAATATTATTATGCAAGGCTTTACAAATATTTCCCATGATTTATGATTGCACCTGTTTCCGTGACCAAGGGACATTCCAAACAGATGTGAGACAGTGTTCCTGGAAAAATAACAGGCAGTGTTATTAGCGGCAGTGGCAGTATACCACTTTGGCAATGCTGAAACATGTATAGAAAATAAATCATTAAAACAGATCTACATCTTATTTGCAATGCACAAGAACAGACTTAGACTGTGAACTAAAATTTCAAATAAAACCCTCATTGGTGAGACATGTACTCATCATTAAACATTTCTCATCATAAAATTGTAGGCCTATATATTATTTGATACTTTTTTTTTTTAGTTTTAAAAGAAAATTAGTATTCAGTAATTGATTTAATGCACTGACAGTGTTGGATGAGAACAAAATTTGGACTGAATTGAGCAGGAGAATGACACTAATTTTGCAACATTGACACTGTTTTGAACTTAATTGTATTAACAATGAACTGAATAATGACACTTTTACCTTTTGTAGAGCTGCTTTACAGGTGAAATTGAATTTGTTTCATAATTGATGGATTTTATAACACTAACACTGTAATTTTTCTGTTTATTAATGTGAAGCTGCTTTGAAACAATCTTTATTGTATAAAGCGCTATATAAACGTGACTTGACACACAGATATACTATATATATATATATATTTTTTTGTGTGTGTGTGAATAAGTAAAAAATACTTATTCATGTAATAATGGTATCTTTTGTTTTCGGACTGAAAAGGTAGATATGTTGCTGCGTTAACTTTAGATGGTATTTATATTAAACAGTTTAAGCAAAATCTAGTTCATAATAACATTTCCTTTCACTTCATTAAAGGGATACTCCACCCAAAAATGAAAATTCTGTCATCATTTACTCACGCTCAATTTGTTGCAAACCTGTATGAGTTTCTTTCTTCTGATGAACACAAAAGGAAGATATTTTGAAGAACGATTGGAACCAAACAGTTGTTTGGCACCATTGACTTCCACAGTAGAAAGAAATGTATACAATGCCAAAGTTCCAATCATTCTTCAAAATATATATATTTGTGTTTATTAACTAACAACTTAAAAGGGTGAGTAAATGATGACTGAATTTTCATTTTTGGGTGGAATATCCCTTTAAGTACGTTGCTGAATGAAAAAGGGTGGCGAATAGGCATTAGTTGCATCAGTGGCTTTGTTAACAGATAAATTATGCATTTGGTTGATTCAATTCCGTTATAATTATCATCAATTATTAAATAAGTTAATTTCATCTATAAAGCAATTCTGCAAAAAAATAATAATTATAATAATAATTCAGTTCAGTTCTCATACAACAGTGTCAGTACAGTCAGATCAATAATTTCTGATGAATATAAAAGAAGCTGTATGCAAGACATTAATTTCAATTAATCATACATGATATGTCACTAGACATTAAAGGAGTAGTTCACTTTAAAAACAACTTTTGCTGATAATTTACTCACCCCCATGTCATCCAAGATGTCATTCTTTCTTCAGTTGAAAAGAAATTAAGGTTTTTGATGAAAACATTCCAGGATTTTCTCCATATAATTGACTTCATTGGGAACCAAACGGTTCAAGGTCCAAATGAGAGTTTCAGTGCAGCTTTAAACGACACCAGACATTCGTGTCATGATTCGAAAAAAGATTCATTCATTTTGATGAACGAGTTTGAACAGGAGACTTACCAACGCTCATCACACAACAGAGCAAGGCGAGAATTTGTGCTTATAAAACTTAAACTTTATTACTTATTAATTAAATGGCGATCGTTTCGCTAGATAAGACCCTTATTCATCGTGTGGTGTCATTTAAAGCCCTTTGAAGCTGCACTGAAACTCTCATTTGGACCTTGAACCGTTTGGTTCCCAATGGAGTCCATTATATGGAGAAAATCCTGGAATGTTTTCATCAAAAACCTTAATTTATTTTCAACTGAAGAAAGAAAGACATGGACATCTTATAACATGGGGGTGAGTAAATTATCAGCAAAAGTTTTTTAAAAGTGAACTACTCCTTTAGAGGCGACAGTGGCAAGCCACACAAAACTCCATCAGGTGACAGGATAGAGAAAAAAAATGAACGTGTCTCCTCTGGCCAATGAACGAACAAGGTGTTATTATGATTCAAGTTGCATCATAAGTCAGAATTCAGATCGGCCACCAACAATCTATCTCTGTTGTAACAGGTTTTGGTAGTGGTCTGCTGTGGACCCCAAGCTGATGTTCTATACGTGAAAAACACTTTCAACCAGCCAAGCAGGAAACCAAGGAAAGGTGCCATGTCTAACAGAAAATCTGATGGCTCCATGGGTGACAAGTCTCTTCTTGTTCCGGGGAGCTATTTCAGCTCAGCCCTTACGCTGGACCAGCCTTCAGGACGTTCGGCTTCGAGCATCGACCTGTCCACTGTCAGTTCACCAGAAGATGAGAGGAGAACTGTAGTGCTCAGCACCCAGAGTAATGCAGCTCGGAAGCGGGGCACTCAACAGCTCATTCCCAAGAACCTGGCTGTGACTAGCCGGCCAAAAAACCGCCACCACACGACCGTGGTGACCCTGCCCGTCCCCCTGCAGGTCACGGATATCTCCTGGGAGGACTATGACAGCGATGCAGGTGATGGGTTTTCGCTGAGGAGAAACCGCAGGAATCAGTCGTACCGTGCTGCCGTCACCAGTTTGAATTTTGATGCTTTGCCAAACGAACTCCAAACAGAAACGCTGACACTTGTCAATGAAGCGAAGGGGGCCAACCAAAAGCAAGCACACAAATCGGGACGCAAGGCAAGTGTCCCGCTCTCAGATTATTATGTTATTTAACCACTTGGATGCTTTTGAATTAAAGGGATAGTTCACTTTGAAATTCATTTTTGGTATGTTTTAGCTTACCTCAGGGGCATCCAAGATGCTCTTTGAGGTGGTGACCATAGACCTCCATTATATGACTGATAGACACAAACTGTTTGACCTATTACATCAAAATTGAAACTATTGTGGAAATCTACCTGCATCTTGGATGCACTTGAGGTAAGCTAAAACATACCAAAAAATAATTTCAAAGTGAACTATCCCTTAAATGTAGTTTGTTGTATTCACAACAGAGCTTTTCACACTGCGCTTAACCGTCGTTCGAAACACCGCTTTTGTATGAAGCATTGACGTAATTTCCACTGAAACGGGAAGCTAAGGTGGGACATATTGACTAGCTCCTCCCCCTTTTAAAGTAGCCAATAGCGTTTAGTTTACCTCACAGGCTGCATGTCGTACTTGACAGCAAATTGGAAGCAAATCTGAGCGCTGATGATGCGTTGGATTCAATAGTAGAGGTGTGAATAAATTCTAGCCATTTCATTCTTAACCAATGTACAATGGAGTAAAACTGGAGCGTTTGAGTAGCCGATTACACATCTCCAACCCATATTGCTCTGTGACCCACGTGGTGTTTATAGCATAGGGGGCGGGGCGCTTTAGATTCTAGAGAGAATTTGATTGGACAGAAGATGTGATGTCATAAAAATCTGTGATCCGGAAGTGAGAGACCGAATGCTTATATCTCCTTAATGCAAATTTTGTCATTGTTTTGGAACACACCTGCTTATTCATAACCTTAAGGCTAACATATTCGTACTAAAAGCTAAAAAACGTACATTTTGACTTCAGGGGGCCTTTAAGTGTATGCGAGGAAACGTATAAAATGATGATAAAAAACGTGACAGAGTGAAAAGGGGACTTTTATTCTTACCATTAAGTTTAAAGGGTCTATTCAGTATAATCTTGATAATGAAGCGTTTAGTATGTAGACGTATTCAAATCAGTGAACCGCAAATAAGGACGTTAAACCACGGTTTAGGATTGTGCAGTGTGAAAATGCATCTTATGAATACCCACCCAGGATTAATTGTTATGTTAACCCTATAAATTATGATCAGTGTGTTCAGTTTACAATGACCCAGGCCAGGGTTCAAATGTAAAAAGCCCTAATCAAATTCAGTTTTATACAGGATTATAGCAATGTTAAATACATCCGTTCATGCTGTTCTGTTAGTATAGGCAAAAATCTGTTTTCATTCAAACCATTAAAAGAGTTTTAGTAATTCCATGGGATGTTTATGTGGAATGTCATCAATTTAGATAAGTTATTAAGTGACAATAATTCTCAAGTTATCAAAGAACCTTTTACATTTTTAAGCATGCAGAGTTAACGGTTTTGTCTTATGCTGTGTTTCCTCACAGAGAACATTGGGGAGGATCAGGAACAGAAAACACGCTGGCTCATTTAAAGATGGTTTGTTCTTCACTGTTGTTCCCTAGTCATTGGTTCTCAATGGATACTTTTTCCCACTTTATATTAGGTGTCTTTAGCTACTGTGTACTAACCATTTGGTACAATGCACTTATACTGTACATTTACTTTTAATACTTAGGTGCTTTTTCAGCACAGTAGCTAAAGACACCTAAGATGTAGGTGTCTTTGTTTCCACAGTAGTTTCAATTTTGATATTTTTAGGTCAAACCGTTCTTGTCTGTCAGTCATATAATGGAGGTCTATGGGGTCCACCTCAAAGAGCATGCACAGAGAAGTCCAGATTAAACATGACTCGTAAATGTAAGTACACTTTGATGGCCTAAGACACGAAACGAGCGGTTTATGTGAGAAAACTAACAGTATTTATATCGTTTTACCTCTTGTAACCTGGTAACAAGAGGTAAAAACAATATAAATACTGTTCGTTTTCTCAAACAAACCGCTCATTTCGTGTCATTTACGAGTCATTGAATCATGTTTAATTTGGACTTCTCTGTGCATGCTCTTTGAGGTGGACTCCATAGACCTCCATTACATGACTGATAGTTACAAACGGTTTGACCTAAAAATACAAAAATTGAAACTACTGTGGAAACAAAAACACCTACATCTTGGATGCACTTGAGGTAAGCTAAAACATATCAAAAATTAATTTCAAAGTGAACTATCCCTTTAAATCTACTCAGACCACCAAACCTGCAGCAAGCATGTTTTGCAATACACAAGAACACAATAAGTACATTGATTGTACATATTTTCCTGATGTAAGTACATAGCAGTTAAAGACGCCTAATATAAAGAGTGACCGGAAAGAGCTCCACGAATTGAACTGATTGTGTCAAATAAGGGACTGTACCAGGAAAGCACTGTACGCATATGCAAACGTGATGCAGTTGTCGAATTAACATTTTATTTTGCCTATATGAACCTCTAACTTTCTACTTCATTTTGTGTCAGTATTGTACTTATAAATGCAGTTTGACTTCCAAGAAATACGATTTTGGTTTGAAACTGAATAAATAAAATGAGATGGAATGTTCCTCCTTTGGGGATTGTTGTACAACTTTTAGCGACCAAAACAGTTCTTCTTACAGTTTTTTTTTGTTTGTTTTTTTACACTTTTCTCAATACTTGGGTCACTTTTACTCCTAACAAACTTTCAACCTGGCACCGCAGCACAAAAACTACACCACAACATTTCATACATTATTATTATTGTATTTTTTTTAGATTCAGAAAATGTTTCAATATGGTTTTTCTGTAGAAATGTAGCAAATTGCTGTCTTATTCAATTTTGTATTATGGTAGGTTTCGACCTTAAGTTTAAAGGGATAGTTCACTTTGAAATTAATTTTTGGTATGTTTTAGCTTACCTCAAGGGCATCCAAGATATAGGTGTCTGTTTCCACAGTAGTTTCAATTTTGATATTTTTAGGTCAAACCGTTCTTGTCTGTCAGTCATATAATGGAGGTCTATGGTCACCACCTCAAAGAGCATGCACAGAGAAGTCCAAATTAAACATGATTTAATGACTCGTAAATGTAAGTACACATTGATGGCCTAAGACACGAAACGAGCGGTTTGTGTGAGAAAACAAACAGTATTTATATTGTTTTTACTTTTTACCTCTTGGAACCACAGCGAAAACAAATATAAACAAAGCAAAACGATATAAATACTGTTCATTTTCTCAGAAATATGTCCTAGCAATTGTAAAAATGGTAATATTTGTTGTGTGATTCATAACATAAAAACTAGATATTGCCATATTTTGACAGTGCATTTTCTCCTGTACTGTAGGCTTGAATTTACTAGTGATGATCAAAAAAGAAAAACCGAACTACAGCAAGTTGTAAGTTGTGCATCGTTCTCTTATAGATCCGCGCTTTTACCAGGAAATAAGGGAGCGAGGTCTGAACGCCAATAACCTGAGCACCGAGGATGATGAGTTCTCACCGACCGAGCCACCAGAGGATCAGGGCATTGTGGTGAAGAACTACAGGGCAGCGTACATGACATGGAGTCAACTACCACAGGTGATGAGGGTCAAATGCTGTTGAAGAGTTACTCACTTTACATTTTCTTTCAAAGTTTTCCACATTATTTTCCTGTTATCACTGTAAAGCTGCTTTTAACACAATCAGTTTTGTAAATAAAGGTGACTGACTTGACTTAACCAATATTATGCATTGTTTCAAGTTAGGACAAAAATGGGGAAAAGCATTCATCAATTCAAAATAACTAGGCTTACAAGAACTAATAAGTACTTTCACTGTCTTATTTCAAACTTAGGTGAAGGATTTGGGCATTTTGGATAACATCTCCTCTGAAGAACGCAAAAGACAAGAAGTGAGTCTTGGCATGTTCACTTGTTTTTGTGATGTAAAAAAATGAAACACATATAAATCATATCAGAACTTTTGCACCTTTAATGTAAAATTGATAAGCTATGCAATGCCACTGAAAACCAAAGTGAAAATTTTCAGGAATAAACTTGAAATAACAGCCCTAATATTACTCAGCCCTGAATACCTAGTTTAAGCACCCTTTCATTTTATTAGTCTATTTGGATAGGAGTCTATCAGCTTGGCTCATCCTGACTTGGGAATATTTTTTTGCAACAATGTTTGGTTATATTTTTTAAGGTGATGCAATAAACTTCATTAACTGCATGTACTTACTATAGAGTTATAGTTAGGGTTTGGTTTAGGATTAGTTACTTGTAATTATGCATAATTTGCTGTTATTACTATAGTAAATATATGTAGCAACGTGTAACTTTCAGATCTGATAAAGTGGAATTGCATGGCCCTGTTCAGGTCACCCCACAAATTTTCTACTGGATTCTGGTCTGGTCTCTTGCTGGGACCATTCCAAAACATTAGTCTTTCTTTGCTGTAGCAATTATTTTGTTGATTTAGATGTGTTTTGGATCATTGTCATGATGAAAGCTGAAAGTTCTCTTGATTTTCAGCTTTCTAGCAGATGCCATAATCGATTCCAGCTATTTATGATTCCCTCCACCCTTAATAAAGCCTCAGTTCCAGCTTAAAGGAGTAGTTCACTTCAGAATTAACATTTCCCGATAATTTACTCATTGCCACGTCATCCAAGATATTCATGTTTTTTTTTTCTTCAGTCGAAAAGAAATTACGGTTTTTGAGGAAAACATTCCAGGATTTTTCTCCATAAGTAGACTTCAAAGGTTATCAATGGTTTGAAGGTCCAAATTGTAGTTTCAACGCAGCTTCAAAGGCTCTACATGATCCCAGCCGAGGAATAAGGGTCTTATCTAGAGAAACGATCGGTCATTAAAAAAAACAAAACAAAACAAAAAAAACATTTATTTACTTTTTAACCACAAATGCTCGACTTGCACTAGCTTTGCTATCCGCCACGCCAGGTGGAAGTACCGACCTAGTGTTTATAAAGCAAACGTGCAAAGATTAAATCAAATGCCATTTACAATAAAATAAAACAAAAGGTAAAACAGTGTGTCGGACAATTTTGAAGTTGGAGGAGAAAATGAGTTGGAGTGTTTCACCCTACCCTACATTTTTCGCCTACTTCAGGTTACTGCTTACCTTTTTCATAATCACATTATAACGTGATTATTATGTAATGCGTGAATTTGTGGACGTACAAGACGAACATTTGTGGCTAAAAAGTGTATATATATATACTCACCTAAAGGATTATTAGAAACTAGAGCCAGACCGATATATTGACCGGCCGATATTATCGGCTGATATTAGGCGTTTTCCATAATATCGGTATCGGCAGTTATAATGGCCGATAAATGAATATTTAAAAAATAAAAACGGACGAAACACGCTTTGGCCTGTTATGTTGAAAATGTATGTTTTACAATTTGCAGTATGATGTTATCTATTGCTAAATTATGGCTCATCATAGACTAGCTAACCACAAAGCTAGCTAATGCCACTATCATCAGTGGAAGACCGTTAACATTAATGAGCTTGGAAACCACAATGAACTTTTTCTGCCTAAATAAAATAATTATTACTGTATTTATAACTAGCATATCTCTAGTTACAGTCCCTGCATTGTAAAATGTAAGTTATACTTGCGAGGAGTGAATATTTAGACATAGAGAAAAAGTATCGTATCTTGTGCAGAAAAGTTAGCTTTTCTTTTACACGTGTGTGAAATCCAACAATATTTAATAAAAATATCGGATTTTAAAACCCAAAAATATTTGTATCGGTATCGGCCTTCAAAATCCTTTATCGGTCGGGCTCTATTAGAAACACCTTTTCAATTTCTCATTAATGCAATTATCTAATCAACCAATCACAACAGCAGAAGACCCCACCAGGTACCATCTCCACTACAAATGGGAAAAAGAGGCTACAATTTGCAAGAGCTCACCTTAATTGGACAGTTGAAGACTGGAAAAATGTTGCCTGGTCTGATGAGTCTCGATTTTTGTTGAGACATTCAGATGGTAGAGTCAGAATTTGGCGTAAACAGAATGAGAACATGGATCCATCATGCCTTGTTACCACTGTGCAGGCTGGTGGTGGTGGTGTAATGGTGTGGGGGATGTTTTCTTGGCACACTTTAGGCCCCTTAGTGCCAATTGGGCATCATTTAAATCCCACGGCCTACCTGAGCATTGTTTCTGACCATGTCCATCCCTTTATGGCCACCATGTCCCCATCCTCTGATGGCTACTTCCAGCAGGATAATGAACCATGTCACAAAGCTTGAATCATTTCAAATTGGTTTCTTGAACATGACAATGAGTTCACTGTACTAAAATGGCCCCCACAGTCTCCAGATCTCAACCCAATAGAGCATCTTTGGGATGTGGTGGAACGGGAGCTTCGTGCCCTGGATGTGCATCCCACAAATCTCCATCAACTGCAAAATGCTATTCTATCAATATGGGCCAACATTTCTAAAGAATACTTTCAGCACCTTGTTGAATCAATGCCACGTAGAATTAAGGCAGTTCTGAAGGCAAAAGGGGGTCAAACACAGTATTAGTGTGGTGTTCCTAATAATCCTTTAGGTGAGTGTATAAGATCCTTATTCCTCAGCTGGGATCATGTAGAGCCTTTGAAGCTGCATTGAAACTGCAACTGGGACCTTCAACCCGATGATACCCGTTAAAGTCCACTATGTGGAGAAAAATCCTGGAATGTTATCCTCAAAAACCTTAATTTCTTTTCGACTGAAGAAAGAAAGACATGGATGACGTGGGGGTGAGTAAATTATCAGCAAATTTTCATTTTAAAGTTAACTTTAAAATATCGTACTGCCAGTACGATGCATCACCGTGGTGTTTTGCTGTTGTGCTGTTGTTTTTGTCCCAAACATACTTTATATCAATCTTATATCAATCTAGGTTTTATCAGAGCATAAAACATGTTTCCATGTAATTTTGAGAGACTGAATATAGGTTTTTGCAAAGTTGGATGTAGCACAATATGGATGTTTCCATTTGACCCAGTTCAGTTCGAGATGCACTGTTTGGGGTCCTTAGGAAACATGTTTGAGATCTAATAAAATGACAAGTTATCAGTGCATCCAAATATATTTTGGCCCAATATGACTGTAGCACTGGTAAATGAAGTCATTTCATGTAGTCATCGTCAGATGGCTGTAGTATATGTGTACTTACACGGCTGTGTAAATACTAAAGTTCACTCCACACAGACACACCCAGACATCTGACTCTTACCTGCTCTTTTGTTCCACCTGCTGCCTTCAATGAGGCTGTGTTGTGTATTTTCATGGAAAAGCCATTCATTCCTAAAGCTTTTAGGCCATGAACTTTCTACTTCTCTTTCAACGTGTTTTAGTGAATAAAAGAAGTCTCTTCAGGAGAGTAAAAGAAACACGGCAGATCTCTTCTAGTTCTCACTGCATATGATATTGTCTCAACAAATGGTTCATGTTATCCTTCAGTAAATCTGTGTGGTTTCGTTATCCAGTGGGTGGAGATCATAGTTCTGTCACTTAGAAAAGCACACTTCTCCTTAACCCACATAACCTGAGGTGCACTCAAGTTCACAGTACAACTGGTTTTAAGTGTTTAAATAACTAACTTCATGTGGACATTTGCATGTTCTTAACTCCTGGACAATCATAAAGTGGGGATTGTTTTCTTCCTTTCTGTTTTTAAAGAGATATTTGGAATTCAATGGAGGTTGCCAAAATCTTTCTTTGGAGTTTTTATTGTCACATTAGGATCAGTTTCTTCACCTAACAAATCGCATACTGCATACTTGGTTGTTTCTACATTTGGTTTGAAACCATTACAAAAATGAATCTGGGTAGTATGAATTAAATTCGAACGTACTACATCCCCCGTGTCATCATGTCACGTGACCAGCCAGCATTAGTTGTCGCTGCACTGCCATTCACAAGTCCTATCCTGTGGTTCAGTAGTAGGTCATCCGGATACTTTTTGCCCACTGTTTTCCAAATTCTATGCATTCAAACCTATGACTCTTGCCGTATTGTTTTTTTGTTTTTGTTTTTTTTTTTTTGCATAGTATTTGCATAGTATGCAAGTAGGCATCTCAGTTTTTAGTTTCTTCTTCTTCTTTTAATAAACAACAACTTACTTTTACCATAGGTTCTTCATTGAATCCTCTTTTTATCATAAATGTTTCTTGATGTTTCTACATCATATCAGTGTATTGGTTCCTGGCCTCTTGTTCCTGGCATTTGAGGGGATAAAGATCAGTATAAGTTATACAACCTATATAGTATTTTGTAATACCCGTGTAATATAGTGTCTCTGTATTTGTGCAGGCCATCTTTGAAATCATCACATCAGAATTTTCCTACCAGCACAGTGTAAGCATCCTGGTGCGTCATTTTAAGGAAAGCGCAGATTTGAAAAAGACCATGACCACAACGGAGCACCATCACCTGTTCTCCAACATATCTGTCATCCAGGAAGTCAGCAAACGGTATGAACGTTCACTCACCTTCTAAATTTTAATATGGATCAAAGGGTAGACTCTTTATTCTAAATTCTAATATGGATTGATACTGTTGAGAAATAAAATTTAACACTTTATAATAACTACACGCTAATAATCATTAGTTAAGCATGAGTAAACCATTAATTCATTATTCATAAAGCATTAATAGACATTAATAAGCAGTTCATAAATACAGCTATAAATGCTTTCTTCTTGATTTAAAAGCACATCTATAATTTGTTTAATAATTGTATTTTCATCCTTTATTAATGATCAATTTATCATTTCTAAATGAAGAATTGCATTTTTTCTAAACCAGTTATTTAAGAGTTGTCCGTGGTTCATACGATTACTTAGAGCGAGTAAGTAAATGATTAATAAACTATTTAAATGTACATTCATACATCTTATTATTCAGACATATAGTGATGGTTACTTAATGTGTTAATAAATGCTGTAATTAAGGATTAATTTGGGTAGTTATAAAGCATTTAGTAGTGGTCAGTTAACTATTTTTGTGACCTAATCTAAAGTGAGGACTAGTCATGCCTTGTAAAGCATTTTTAAAGGCTGTTAAATATTTCTATGTTCTGTATCACTGTGTTGTGTTTGTTACATTTTACTGTTTAGAAGATTGACGAGTCTTTATAAATGCTTTGCAAAGCATGAATAGTCCTCACTTTAGATTAGCTCACAAAAATAGTTAACTGACCACTAATAAATGCTTTATAACTACCTGTATTTACTACATTTACTTACACTTTCCAAGTGGTCTTATAAATGACTGACAACTCTTAAACAACTGGTTTGCAAATAATGTTATACTTCATTTAGAAATTATTAATTGATCATTAACAAAGTATGAAAATACAATCATTAAATGCATTATAGATATGCTTCTAAAATAAAGAAAAAAGCATGTATAGCTATATAAACTGCATATTAATGTCTATTAATGTTTTCTAAATGATGTATTAACTGTTTACTCATGCTTAACTAATGATTAATAGCGTGCAGTTATTATAAAGTGTTACCAAAGTTTTTTTAAGAAGTTCATATCTTATCATATATTTATTTCTTCAAGTGCAATGCTCTCTTGCAGCATGATGTCTTATTGTGAAGCATTGTAGATACTTATCTGATTGTAGAAAGTAGTAAAGGTCTTTAGAATATGCATGTCGAGAGTGATTCGGTTTGATCATTTTCATCAGTGACAGTCAGACAATTGTTCTTGAAGTTCAAGTTAAAGATATTATCTTACAAAGTTATCAGCCAAGTGGCCAATAATTCCATTTTATTTACTCAACACTTGAGTATGGTTTGTTTCCTCTCATTTTAGGGTGGCATAAACATCTGTGATTATTAAGTCTTTGAGCGTGACAGCTTTAGATATAAAACAATAGTGGAACATTAATAGTGGAATTACTGGTTCAGCACCTTTCTGAGCCAGATCTAATACAGGTCATTAAAAAAACTGTTTGCAGGATCATGCAAGAGACCTGAGTGCAGTAAATGCACTGCTGGACGTGTCCAAACATGCTGGTTGAACTGGTTAAGCAACTTTCTGCTGCCTGGATTCATGTTTCTCAAAACATGGTCTTTCACACATTTACAATGAAACTTTATACCTGTTTCCCCAGAAGCTGTGCATGTGTTCTGCTCTAAGCACTGTATGGCTATAGGCTAAAGTAAAGTGGCTGTGATATATACTGAAGTTTCGAAACATGTTGTGTCATGCAGTTTGGTGGTGTTTATGAAACAAGCACTCTAAATTAGCTTGACTGTGGGAGTGATTCCCTCCAGTCTGGGAGTTGCCCTTAGAGCTAATAAAGAACAGACTTAAAATGTTCTGTTTGATATGCATATCTCACATATAGCTTAAATAAACTTTCTATTACCTTTGTATTTTATTATTTAAACTGGTTGCTGCCACGGAATAAAACATATTAATTTGGATAAGATAATTTGGACTTTATTTCTCAGTATTGCGAGATATATAAAGTCAGAAATGCACGATATCAATTTGCAATTCTGATTCTTCAATTCTTTATTTCTCGCAATTGTGAGTTTACATCACGCAATTCTGACTTTCAATATCGATAATTATGAGAAATATTTCTTGAGCATAAAATCATCATGTTAGAATGATTTCTGTTAACAAAGTTCGGGAGGAGCAGGTTCAGATAATTAACACGGGTGGAGAGCACACAGCAAAGATGAAAGAGTTCCATATAGAACCTTAAAAGGTTCTATCAGCGCTACGTATTTGGAACCCCTAAAAGGTTAAGGGTTCAATAATAATAAGAACCCTTTAGCGTTCTTTGTAACCAGGAAAAAAGTTCTATATGGAGCCTTTTGGGGTCATTCATTGTCATTTGTTTTGTCCTTTCCGGAAGAAATATTTCATATTATTGACAAACATCAAGACCCTTAAATGTATTTATGAGTGCATGTGAATGATCACAAAATTCAAGATATGGGGGTTAGAAAAAGAATTTATTTATATCATTTTATGTAGTTAATCAAAATCGCATGAAGAGTGCCATTTCAGTTTTTCTCCTCCAAAAAATGAGTAAAATGTGATATTAAGTTACTTAATAAACAATAATTTAAATGCAACTACAAACTGTGGCAGAATAATGTAATATATATGAATAATAGCCTATAAAGAACCTTCTTTCTTGTCATTATAGAACCTTTTTTTAGCATAAAAGGTTCTTTGGAGTTGAGTAAAGAACCCTATGCTTCAAATATAGAACCCCAATGAACCCTTTTTTCTAAGAGTGTAGAGGCAAGTAACTGATGTGAAATGAAACCGTGTTCCAGCAGTTAAGCTAAGTCTCTAAGGAGAAGTCCATTCTTCTCAAACAATCATTAGTTTGGGTCTTGTATGACACCCCAGTCAAAAGTTTGGACACACCTTCTCTCTTTCAGTGGTTTTCTTTATTTTTATTTTCAACATTGGATGTCTTCAGTATGAATGTACAATCTATGAAAGAACATGCATGGAATTATTTAGCTTTGTTCTTGCAATTCAAGTCAAACTTAATTTTCCTCAATTTTCCAGAAGTCTTTGTGCATGACAGTTTTAGATTCAAAGCGATAGTGCAACATTTGACTATCGTTTAGCTTCGATGACAGCTTGGCAAACTAATGGCATTCTCTTATCAGATGCACGGGGTTGTCACCTGGAAGGAATGGTTTTCATTTTCACAGGTGTGGCTTGTCAAGAGTTCATCTGTGACATTTCTTGCCTTCTTAATGTGCTTTAGACCATCAGTGGTCTTGTGTAGAGTCAATAGCTATATTAGTGCTACTACAAATCCATATTATGGCAAGAAACACTCATTTAAATAAAGAGGAAATACAGTCCATTGTTACTTTAATAAATGAAGGTCAATCAATCTGAAAAATTTCATGAACTTTAAATCTATCCCCAAGTGCAGTCGCCAAAAACGATCAAACGCTATGAAGAAACTGGCCCTCATGAGGAAAGGAAGACCAAGAGCTACTACATGCGTTCATGTGGCAGACATATTTCAACATCTGTTCAGAGGAGATTGCGCGAGTCAGGCCTTCATGGTCGAATTGTGCCAAAGAAACCATTACTTTGGCAGAATAAGTACAAGACTTGTTGGGCTAAGAATGGACATTAAATCAGTGGAAAACTGTCCTTTGGTCCGATGAGTCTTTAGACGTAGAGAGGGTGAACGAATGGTTCCCGAATGTGCGGCTCCCATTGTGAAGCATGGAGGAGGAGGTCTGATGGTGTGGAGGTTCTTTGCTGGTGACGCTGTAAGTGTCTTAGTCAAATGCAGCATTTTGCAGCAACATGTCATCCCATCTGGTTTGCGCTTAGTAGGGCCATCATTTGTTTTCCAACAGTACAGTGACCCCAAACACACCTTTTGGTTATGTACAAGCTATTTGTCCAAGATGGAGTGCTGCATCAGATGACCTGGCCTCCACAAACACCGATCCAAATCCAATTGAGATGTTTGAGATGAGTTGGACTGGAGATTGAAGGAAAAGTCCTAACCTCTGGGAACGTTGAGAACTGGGATAGTTGGAAAGCCATTCCAGGTGACAACCTCATGAGGCTGACTGAGAGAATGCCAAGAGTGTTCAAAGAGGTCATCAAAGCAAAAGGAATTGAAAGAAATTTGAAGAATTGAAAATATAAAACATATTCTGGGTTATTTAACATATTTTTGTGGACTAAGCACGAGAAAACCAGAGAGCAGAAAAGAGAACCTCTCAACGAATCCTCCAACAAAGGACAACACCAGACAAGGAGTATAGAAATACTCTTATGAACAATAAAAATAAACATAAAAACTACAAAACATGGTGCAAAACAGGAATTAACATACAAGACCACCCAAGACCAGATTGAACACAGGATGGGGTCATGCCAATATATTTGAAGGGTCATTTAAACTTAAGACAGAATTTAAAAAAAAAAAAAAGAAAAAAAGTTTTATGGCTGATGCATCAGTCTTTCATGGCTTATATACTATGATATTGGAAAAATATGGAGCTCATATAATATGGAAAAACACATCTATTTAGAAGGCCCACTTTTTTTTATTCTGAGAGCAAAACATACAAATGCAATACAATGATGATGACTGAGAGATGTAGAAACCTTCATAAGCCTGATGTATCATATTTGATACTATCATTTTAACAAGATTTTCCTAACAAAACTAAAAATCATGTAGCGAATGGATGATGTAGGCTAAGCCTAACCTTGCTTCAGTCCAGTAAATTTTCATCTTGAAATATTATTAAGAATATAAATTGTATCCTCATGTTACTTTATTAAAAAATCAGTAAAGAATTTAAAGCAAATAGGTACGTTGCACCATGACCCGAATGACGTTTTTTACAATTATACTAAAAGTCTCCTCTCGCAACAACCACAACAACAACAAAACACACAGGGGGTGTGGAGTAGAGAGCTACACGTTGCTTTGCCGCCCCCTGGTGGTCTGGTTCGAATTAGGCTGGTAAACCCCTCAACTGGTTTACATCCTAGTATTTTTTTATCTATTTTTTTCTATTACCTAATAATTATTTATTTTTTATTTGTAAATATGCTCTTATTTTGACATGTTTTGATACACTTTACATAAAATGACCCTCATATTTTTACCGAAATTTCTCAGGTTTTTTGAAGATCTGGAAAAGCGTCACCAAAAACACCCTGTGATTCACGACATCAGTGATATAGTGAAAAATCATGCGACTCACCACTTTGAGCCGTATATTGTGTATTGTTCCAATGAGACTTTCCAGCAGAGAACGCTCCAGAAACTACTGTAAGTGCCAATACACACAGTACAGATGCTACCACAGCGGTATAGATTGGAAAACAGTATTTTGGTGGAATTCATTGCGGCCTGTGATGTATTTTTGTGTTTTAGGTCAAGCAACACTGCGTTTCGAGAGAGTTTGAAGCAGATTGAAGGCAGCGAAGAGTGTGGAGGCTTACCCATGATCTCCTTCCTCATCTTACCCATGCAGAGGGTTACTCGTCTGCCACTTCTCTTGGACGTAAGAGACACATTCCTCCTGTTACCAACAGCTTTATATGAGTTTGAGTTTGGAAATTGGAATAAAATCTCACTTTTCTCATTTCACTTTGCAAACAGCCATAGGAAGGTTGTTTATGGCTAGTAAATAAACTAAAGATTGCATTATTGCAGTTAGTCTTATGGAATACACTACTGGTCAAATGTTTTGAAAGAAGTATTTTATGCTCACCGAGAGTGAGCATAAAATATCGTTTGATAAGAACAAAAAAAATGTATTTTGTTATTTGTAAATATTGTTACTTTTTTTTTTTTTTTTTTGGAATATATTTTAAGATGTTATTTTTTTTCCTGTGATGCAAAGCTGAAATTTCAGCAGCCGTTACTCCAGTCTTCAGTGTCACATGATCCTTCAAAAAATATTTTGGTAATGCTTTAGAGTACAGTCCGAAAAGCACTGTGTAATTAAGAGGAATTTACTGTGTAACTTTATGTAATTATAGTGTACCTGTAAAGTACTTACATGTTGGGAACAATATGTACAGTTTGGGGAATAAAGGGGTAACAACCAGGAGAATTAAAAAAAATATATTTATATTCTAAGTTTTATAGAACTAAGGGTTACTTATTCTACTATTAAGATACAACAATCTTACATTTGGGAGCAATTTAGCGAGAACATTCACTGCGTGCCTTTTTGTAGCAATTGTGTATCAATACATGCCGTAGGCTTTTTAAAAATGACAGGGTACATCTATGCATTTATAAAAATAAAAAAATAAACAAATTGATAGCAAAAGTGCAGATGTTTATGTTTGGGCTAACATGTTTCAAGGGAAGAAAAGCTAAGACTTTGCAATTTTTTTTAAAAATATACTGGGAAATATATCTGGTTTCATGTGGTTACAGGGTAAGTGGCGCTTGTATAATAAATAAAGTTTTCTGAGTCCGTGTTATAAGATTGTGTATGCATTTTTATTGTACTTACCCAGTAACTACATGGAACAAGAGGGTAACAAGAACCACTACATGAAACAAGAGTATCTTTCCCCAATATTTAAGAAAAAGTTGCAATAGTTTTCGTTTTCAGTGCACTTTTGTTAAAATATTACTTTATAAATGTATAGATATGTACCCTGTAATTTTTAAAAAGCCTGTACAGTATGTACTGATTCACCATTATTTCAAAAAGTTATGTTCTTGCTAAATTGCTCCCAAATGTAAGATTGTTTAAATCATAAATTGTAGAATAAGTACCCCTTAGTTCTATAATACTTACAGTATAAATATTTTTTTATCCTGGTTGTTACCCCTTTATTCCCTAAACTTGAAATATTGTTCCCTTTTACTTATATTGTAAGCATGTTATAGGTGCACTATAATTACCGAAGGTTACGCTGTAAAATCACTTTAATTACGCATTACTTTCTGGGCTGTAATCTAAAGAGTTACCAACATTTTAATATGCTTTTTTTCTGATTCTGATTAGTTATTTATGTATTAACTAACAAATAACCAAAGTACAGCTGTTCATTTTTGTTCATGTCCACAGTCAGTGCATTAACTAATATTAACAAGATTTGAATAAAGTATTAATAAATGTTGAAATTAACATTAACAAAGATTAACGTGCAGGTCATTATTAGTTCATGCTAATTAACTAATGTTAACTATTGAACCTTATTTTAAAGTTTTATTATTTTTTTGTTTGTCTTTTCATATCTACACAGACCATCTGTCAGAAAACCCCAGACGGTACAGCTGAATACTTTGCTGCCCGTTGGGCTTTAAAAGCTATCAGTAAGGTATGGTGCTACTCTCTATCCATCAACTCGGGATGTGGAAAACTACACTTTTTGGTTTAGAGTCATGTCTACTAGATAAATAACCCAACATTTTGTTGTTCCAAAAAAAACTTTCAACAAAACTTCAGTGGTGATATAAACTCACCTAAAGGATTATTAGGAACACCATACCTATACTGTGTTTGACCCCCTTTCACCTTCAGAACTGCCTTAATTCTACGTGGCATTGATTCAACAAGGTGCTGAAAGCATTCTTTAGAAATGTTGGCCCATATTGATAGGACAGCATCTTGCAGTTGATGGAGATTTGGGGCACGGAACCAGCTCCCGTTCCACCACATCCCAAAGATGCTCTATTGGGTTGAGATCTGGTGACTGTGGGGGCCATTTTAGTACAGTGAACTCATTGTCATGTTCAAGAAACCAATTTGAAATGATTCGAGCTTTGTGACATGGTGCATTATCCTGCTGGAAGTAGCCATCAGAGGATGGGGACATGGTGGCCATAAAGGGATGGACATGGTCAGAAACAATGCTCAGGTAGGCCGTGGGATTTAAACGATGCCCAATTGGCTCTAAGGGGCCTAAAGTGTGTCAAGAAAACATCCCCCACACCATTACACCCCCACCACCAGCCTGCACAGTGGTAACAAGGCATGATGGATCCATGTTCTCATTGTGTTTACGCCAAATTCTGACTCTACCATCTGAATGTCTCAACAGAAATCGAGACTCATCAGACCAGGCAACATTTTTCCAGTCTCCAACTGTCCAATTTTGGTGAGCTCTTGCAAATTGTAGCCTCTTTTTCCTATTTGTAGTGGAGATGAGTGGTACCCGGTGGGGTCTTCTGCTGTTGTAGCCCATCCGCCTCAAGGTTGTGCGTGTTGTGGCTTCACAAATGCTTTGCTGAATACCTCGGTTGTAACGAGTGGTTATTTCAGTCAAAGTTGCTCTTCTATCAGCTTGAATCAGTCGGCCCATTCTCCTCTGACCTCGAGCATCAACAAGACATTTTCGCCCACAGGACTGCCGCATACTGGATGTTTTTCCCTTTTTACACCATTCTTTGCAAACCTTAGAAATGGTTGTGTGTGAAAATCCCAGTAACTGAGCAGACTGTGAAATACTCAGACCAGCCCATCTGGCACCAACAACCATGCCACGGTCAAAATTGCTTAAATCACCTTTTTTTCCCATTCTGACATTCAGTTTGGAGTTCAGGAGATTGTCTTGACCCGGACCACACCCCTAAATGCATTGAAGCAACTGCCATGTGATTGGTTGATCAGATAATTGCATTAATGAGAAATTGAACAGGTGTTCCTAATAATCCTTTAGGTGAGTGCATGCTATTCTTGAAGCCACAAGTTACACAAGTGCAGCTTAATTATTATATTACTTATATTTTCATAGGGGTGAATTCAGGTTGATCGGGACACTATTCCTCAGTCACCTCAATGGCAAAAAGTGTCCCAATCAACCTGAATTCACCCCTATATAATAAAGTTGGCACTTCCAGTTGCCTAAAATATGACAGTGCTCATGAGTGTTTCTCGGAAATGATTTGGTAGCACAAACTGTACTGTACTGAAGCAGTTTTTCACTTCTCAAGCTTTTTCTCTCTTTCCTCCTGTCAGCTGGTGAAGAACTGTAATGATGGAGCACGGAGGATGGAGCGGACGGAGCAGATGTACACCATCCAGAAACAGATGGAGTTTGGTAAAATCAAGGTATGGCTGATAAAAGACACATTTAATTTCAGTTGAGGCCTAGTTTTCAATATAAAGTTTTGCAGTAATGACATACTCTTGTGGAGCGTCACCCTGTTTCCCTCGACAAAATCCAAAATACTTAATATTTTTCCATTGGCTTTTTTGGATTATTTCAGAAAATAAGGTCTGTGAGTAACAAAAGCTTATTACTTTTACACCTTTTTGTCTTTAGTCAAACGTCATCACCTGAACAGGAAAACTCATCTAATGTCCTCGACAACCACTTTTAAATCATCAAGGCTAGTAAAGCTTTAAAAATGACATGAGGGCATAACTGATGTATTGTACATCATACAATAAAGTGTGAATATATCTTGAGCTTGTGTTCACCGCAGACCTTTTTTCAAGTATTTTACTAAAACCCTTTTAAAAAAACCATTGACTTGAGGACGATGGGACCTGAAGTGATAAACACTTGTTTCAGGTTTTGTCCCACAAAAATACTTGAAGATTTTTTATATATATAAGAAAACTAAAACCTTTGCAACCACTTTGATTTATTTCTGACTGAATAAAAAAAACTTTACAATAAGGTTCATTGTTACTATTAGTTAACTGCCTTAGTTAACATGAACTAAGAATGAACTAATCTTAATGTCAATTCAACATTTACTAATACATGTTAATTAATTAATTCATTACATTTTTACATTGTATTTTATTGTTACTGATTTTATGCATCTAGAATTGATTGGATCATAAAAAGTGAATATTACATCCCAAGTTTATGGATGTAAAGG